CCCACTTGCCCTAGTTCCAATCACTCATGTATCTAAGACCCATCTTCTCAAGATGTCCTTCGAACACTTTCTGTGATAAGGGCTTAGTTAAGGGGTCTGCTATATTTTCTGCTGAGTCGACTCGCTCCATCACGACATCGCCTCTACCAATGATTTCTCTAATCAAATGGTATCGCCTCATAATGTGTTTGGATCTTTGATGAGAGCAATAGCCCCATTGTTATCACAATAAATCGTTATTGGATCAACAACGGATTGTACTACACCCAACCCTTGGATGAAGTTCCTTATCCAAACAGCTTCTTTTGCAGCATCAGATGCAACAATATATTCAGCCTCTGTCGTAGAGTCAGCAATCGTTTCTTGTTTGGAACTTTTCCAACTCACTGCTGCTCCATTCAGAGTGAATAAGTATCCAGACATGGTTTTATAGTCATCTTTATCGGACTGAAAACCAGAATCAGTAAAGCCTTCTAGTTTCAGTTCTCCATTGCCGTATACCATAAAGATATCCTTAGTCCTTCGTAAGTACTTAAGAATCATCTTAACGGGTTTCCAGTGTTCTTCACCTGGATTAGACTCATATCTGCTCATTACACTAAGTGCATGAGCCACATCAGGTCTTGTACATAACATTGCATACATAATGCTACCAATAGCTGATGCATAAGGTATATGACTCATCCGTTCTCTTTCTTCAGGTGTCTTTGGAGACATCGTTTTAGAAAGTGAAACCCCATGACTCATTGAAATATATCCACGTTTGGATTCTTCCATGCTAAACCGTTTTAGCACCTTATTTATATACATAGACTGGGATAGTCCGATCATCCTTTTAAATCTATCTCTATAGATTTTTATCCCTAGGATAAAAGATGCTTCTCCCAAGTCTTTCATGGAAAACTGTTTTGACAACCATGTCCTTGTTGACTGCAACATACCTACATCATTCCCAATGAGTAGGATGTCATCAATATAGAGTACAACAAATGCAACTGCATTCCCACTCACCTTTTTATAAACACATGGTTCATCCGGGTTCTTATGAAAATCAAACGTTTTGATCGTTTCATCAAACCGGATATTCCAACTCCTCGAAGCTTGTTTAAGTCCATAAATAGACCTTTGAAGTTTACAAACCATTTGCTCACTCCCACTGGATATGAAATCCTGTGGTTGTTTCATATAAATGTCTTCCTTAATGTTTCCATTAAGAAAAGCAGTTTTCACATCCATTTGCCATATCTCGTAATCATAATACGCAGCTATGGCTAGCAATATCCGAATAGATTTAAGCATTGCTACTGGTGAAAAAGTTTCCTCATAATCAACTCCTTGTTTTTGAGTATAACATTTAGCAACCAGTCTTGCTTTAAAAGTATTTACTTCTCCATCTACACCACGTTTTCTCTTGTAAACCCATTTACAACCTATAGGTACAATACCCTGTGGTGGATCAACCAAGGTCCATACCTTGTTGGAATACATGGAGTCTATCTCGGATTGCATAGCTTCTTGCCATTTATCTGAGTCAATGTCCGACATTGCCTCATCATAGCTTATTGGATCATTATCCAAAAGGAGTCCCTCTTCATTGTTCTCTAACAATAGGTACAGCCTCTCAGGCGCCCTAGAAACCCTTTCGGATCTCCGAAGAGGTTGTGTTTCAGATGGTCCAGTCTCTACTGGTATGTTATTTGTGGAACTTTGTGGAATTTCTTGTGGTTCTTCATTAAGTTCTATGACTCCACTATTCTTTGAGAGAAACTCTTCCTCCAAGAATACAGCATTCCTCGAAACAAACACCTTTTGTTCAGAGGGATCATAGAAATAGTATCCAATAGACTCTTTTGGATACCCCACAAATTTACATAAGATGGATCTCATATCCAACTTATCTCTCACTTGATGCTTCACGTAAGCAGCACAACCCCATACTTTCATATATTTGTATGAAGGTGTTTTTCCACACCACATCTCATAAGGTGTGCTGGGTACAGCTTTACTCGGCACTCTATTCAAAATATGTGCTGCTGTTTCTAAGGCATAGCCCCAGAATGAAAGAGGTAAACTAGTGGAACTCATCATCGATCGAACCATGTCCATCAATGTTCTATTCCTCCTTTCTGAAACCCCATTGAGTTGTGGAGTTCCAGGAGGTGTCCACTGTGAAATAATCCCATTATCTCCTAAATAATCAAGAAACTCATTGGTCAAATATTCACCTCCTCGATCCGATCGAAGAACTTTAATACTACGACCAATTTGTTTCTCCACTTCACTTCTGAATTCTTTGAACTTTTTAAATACTTCAGATTTGTACCTTAATAGGTATACATAACCATACCGTGAATAATCA